TTAATTTATTTTTCATATTTTTTTTTTTTTTTAGTTGGCAACATTGAACACGCTAACAAGTTGTGTCTGACATGCACACGAATACCATTTTTTTTTTTTTTATTGTAAAAAAAAATCAAAAATATAATTATCAAACTCTCTAATTTTAGTGGCTCCCCCCTCCCCCCCCCCCCCGCCTTCACTACTATTCTTAATTAACATGTTACTTTTTTTTTAAAACCTTAATTAACAAATAATATTTATAACACGCCATTTTATAAATTCGTTTTTCTTTCTCTCTTTCCTTTTCGAATTTTTTTTTTTTTTTTCAAATGGAAAAATCAATGGAAACCTCATCGACTATCAATCGGGGAAAAAAATTATGACGTCATCATTAACAACAACAACAACGATAAAATTATTTACTTTTTTTTTCTCGATATTCAACTTTAAGTCGGAAAATGTTAATATGTGTATGGGGTGAGTGGTGGAAATGGTGGTGGTCGTGATGGTGGTGATGGTGGTGGTGGTGGCGTGAAAAAAAGAAATAAGAAAAAAATTATATGCGTTGCGTGAGAGTTAAATTAAGGAAGAGGCGGCGCCCGTCGTCAGTTTAATACAAAAATCTACACGGGTATAGTTCAACTGGTACATGTGTCTCGCCCTGCCCGTTCGCATGTTGCACTCCCACAAAATTATGCTAAATATATATTCCTTTTTTCCTTTTTTCCTTTTTTTTACGAAAAATAAAATTTGTTAACAAACTACGACGTATTATTAATTCATTCACGGTCGATAATTAAAAAAATAAATAAATTTTAAATTATACGAAAATATAAATATCGTAATTAATGACGATCATTTGTGAAAAAAAAAAAACGATAGAATTTCCATTTAAAAACCAGAAAACAAAAACCTGCGATGTAAAAACACCTGTTTAACCCATAATAATAATAATAATAATAATAATAATAATAATAATAATAATAGTAGTAATAATAATAATATATAAGTATTCAAAATATTCCACCGTCAATTTTCCTTAATTTTTTTTTTTTTTTATCAACAATCATTCGTTTCTTATCAATATCAAAACATTTCTGTCATTACACATTTCATGGGTTTTTGTGTGTGTGTGTGTGTGCGTGCGCGTATGTGTGTGTGTGCGTGTGCGTGTGCGTGTGTGAATTATTAGCGACTCTTTTGTTATTTATTGATTTTAATGTACCGAAAAAAAAAAAACTATACGAAACACCTGGCGTGATTTAACGCATCCATTTTTTTTAAAGTAAAAAGTTTATGATTTCCCGCCAAAAAAAAAATAGTAATTTAGTATACTTATGTATAATAACCCTTCTTTTAAATCTTGTAAATAAAAACCGAATCTTTAACAGAAGGTATATACGAAAAATTAATCGTTCTTTTTTTGGTGAAGGACTAACTAAAACTTAAACAAACTTTTTTTTTTTTTTTTTTTTTTACGAGCTTGTAAAAAAATTTATGTGAAAACAAAAAAAAAAAAAATCTGACGTTAATAGTATATACGCCTTCATCAAATCCATCAAATAAATTAAAAAAAAATGTGTACATATACATAAAAAGTCGAAATTTCGAGAAATTTTTCATATATCACGAATAGAGAGAGAGAGAAAAAGGTCGCCTAAAATTACGTTTACTTAACCTTTTCTCTAAAATTTAACCGTCATACATCTCTCATCTCAATATTTAAAAACGAAAAAAATTTTTAAATGGGTTAATATGCGTTCGAGTTTTCGCAGCGTTTTTTCCCCCCAAATTAAAAAAACGTACGCGCGATAATAAAATAAAAAAAAAAATTATTATCATCATCAACTCGTAAACTTGAATTTTTTTTTTTTTAAAATCTATCTGAAACTTTTTTCTTCTCTCTCTGTCTCTCTCTCTCTTTCCTTTTTTATATACATATATACATATACATATATATATATATATATATATATATATATATATATATAGAAGTAACGAAAAATAATTTTTTATAATTATAAAGGTGGTAATAAATTTTTATTACTCTACAAAAATATATAAATACTCATTACAACCAACAAACAAACAAACGCACACACGACCACGTGACCATCTAAAAATTTTCTTTCTTTTTTTTTTTCGTTACATTAGTAATGCGATATGAAAATTTTTTTATTTTTTTACCCTTTCATCCTCCGTCTTATACGCACGCACACACGCACATACACGCACATATGTATATTTTATTACCTAACACAATCTAGAAAACATTAAGAAAATATAATAATAATAATAATATAATTAATGGATTTAAATGAAATAAATATTAAGATAAGAAGAAAGAAAAAAAAAAAAAACGCACTTAACTACAACCTTAAAAAAAATATATATACTCTCTCTATCTCCCTCTTTCTCTCTCTTTCTCTATTTCTCTCTCTCTCTCTACCGTTTTATTACTCTACAAAAATTATTAAAAAAAATGTTGATCATCAAATTACAAATAAAAAAATCTGTAAAACGTTATTATTCTTCGCAACATTATTATTATTATTATCATTTTTAAAAGTTTATAAGTTTAGTTTTATTACGTTGTAAAATTAACTCGATTTTCCGATTATAATAATAATAATAATGATGACGATGATCATTATTATTTATCATAAGGAAAAAACGGATTCTCATAAAAAAAAAAATTTTAGCATGTGTGGATTTCACGATTTGACGTGAGTTTATAGTTATAACTAATCATTTTAGTATTAAAAAAAAATTAAGCCTAAACAAACAAACAAACGAACGAACAAACAAACAAACGAACGACGAAACAATTTTTTTTCCGTCCATTTTTGTTTATTCAATTTTTTTTTTACTTTAATATAAAGAAAATTTAATTACTCGTGATTCGTAAAAAAAAAAAAAAATTTATTAGAATTTTGAATAATAATAATAATAAAATTTTCCGGAAAAGCGTACCTGATTTAAATGAATAAAATTTCAATTTCCCCCCCAAAAAAAAAAAGATTAATAAAATTTTTTTTGTCGGTTTTTCTTTCACGGATCCCCCCCCCCCAAAACAAAACAAAACAAAAAACTGATTGGTTTTTTTCTTTTCGTTATCACATCGTTTAAATAAATTAATTTCCGGTTAGTATTATTATTATTATTATTATTATTATCAATATTCGATTTTCTATTAATTTTTTTTTTTTTTCATAAAAAAAAAAATTATTCCAAGAGGTGAAATATATATATAAATCTTTTCTCATTTAAAAACACCTGCCACGAATTTTCTTTTTTTTTTTTTTTTTTTTTTTACACGACTGATAAGAGAAAAACCAGAGGAAAAAATTTTTCATCCCCCTTTTTTTTACATTGATAACATTAATTAAAAATTATGTTAATTAAAAAAAAATCCAGGTGAAATTTTCTTATCAGGGTTGTTCGAAAAACAAACAAACACGTTCATCAAGTTATCAAATGTTTTTTTTTTTTTTTTCGTTTGTCGAACAAACAAACCTCTTTGTTTCCCTCTTCCCTCCCCTCTCCTCCCCATAGTTTTAACTTGTTTAAAATGTTTTATTTTTATTTTCACGTAAACGTATTCGATACAAAAAGTTTTTCGACAAAAAAAAAAGAAATTATTGATAAGAAATAATGATGATGATGATGATGATGATTCGTTCAAATAAAAAGGGTTAACTTAGGAGAGTCTTAGTTTCACTTTAAAAAGTTATCAAAACCCCAAAAATGTTTATTTTAATGACAACTATAAAACTGTAAAGTTTGAATAACATTTTCTTAAAAACAAACTTGTCGTAATGTTTCTTTTTTTCCTTCTTCTTCTTCTTCTTCTTCTCCTTTTCTCCTTCCCCCTCCCCCCGTCCGTCCCCCAAGCCCTCCGGACCTTCCTCCTCTCCCTCCCCTTTCAACTTTCATTATTAAAACATAACATTTAACAAATGTACCACAAAGTTGTTGTGTTTTGTTGTGTATGACGTCATAATCTTACAAAAGACTCGAATTTTAAAAAAATTAATAATAATAATAATAATAATAATAATAAATCGAAATAATTTTTTTTAAAAAATTGTTAAGCAATGCATAAAAAAAAAAAATGTCGTGGAAACAAACCAACAAACAGGAATACCGTTAAAAAAAAAAAAAAAATTATTCGATACGTGACGTACGAACGAAAAAAATCTTTTTTTTTTTACCCTTATTTACCCCCTAAACGTGGCAAATCACCCCAAACAATTCCTTTTCAGAATATTAATATAAGTCAATCAAGTTAACTACGTTTACCTCCTTTTTATAAAATAACTTATTCATTCATTCCCCGGAAAACTTTTTTTTTTTTTTTTCCTCGCCATTTTTTTTTTTTTTTTTTTCTCCATCGGATAAGATTTATTATAATCGTTTTAATGACTTTAAAAAAAAAAAAAAAAAAAAAAGGTTATTAAAAGGTTTCGAGTTTTAATTTTATTTTCATTTACGTCATCATTTTTTTTTTTTTATACTTGATGCATGTGCTCACAAAAGCTTTTCCGAAAAGAATCTCCCCCCCAAAAAAAAAAATGAGAAGAATTTAAGAATGTTACAGCAAGTGAGTACACGTGTCAGCCTCCAGGAGGTACATGGAAAACACATCGTGAAAAAAAATTCAAGAACAAAAGCTTTTTATGTTCGATTATAGTTTTAAATAAAAAAAAAAAAAAAAAACGCGCGTTATGTGATATTACTTTTACAACAAAAGTGAAAATTTTTAACAGAGCCTACGAAATCCGCCATGTTTTATTATTTTATAAACTCTATGGTCTCTCTATCTACTTAGAATAATAAAAAACGATTCGTCGTAGTGCGCGACTATCATAATTTTAACCACAGACAACATAAATTTTTCTTTTCGCGTGTGTGCGTGCGTGTGTGTGTGTGTATGTATGTAAACAAAAACATTCAAAAAAAAAAATTTTTTTTAATTTACTTTCACAAATATATATATATATACTAACAATGAAAGAATGAAATGCGAAACGAATTTATCATCGGGTATAAATAAAATAAAAGAAACTAAAAAACCTGGAATGGTTATAATACATAAATCAACGTGCAGCGCGTGTATATCATTGAAACCCAAATTATTAGCATCGAAAGAAATCGAACGTTTAAGTAATTTTTTTATAGTTATCAGTTTGATGGATGATTTCGTACCCATCGAACCCAAATATAATTTAGACGGAAAATATTATCCGAGAATTATTTTTCTCAACACTTCCGGTGAAATAATGAAAGAAATAATGAACGCGAACGGAGGTAATAAATATAAATATTATTATTCGACGGAGAAAAATTTAATTAACAGTATGGAAAAAGTATTGAAAACATGTCCTCAAGTCGATAAAACGTGAAAATCCCTCGGACGGGGGGGGATGATGAATCTCGATTGGAGCCCCTATCCTATCTCCCTTTTCCTCCTACCCCCTACCCCAGATCCCGATAAACAAAACTAATGCTGCACAAACAAAATTTTACGTGAAATTCCGATATGAAAAACGGGTGAATGATGACAAAAATAATAATAATAATAATAATAATTATTTAATCGACTTTTTATATGGGAGCAGGTGCGAAAGGTTAATTTTATACTTATATACGCGCATCATCAACAAAACATTATTATTTATCAAGGAGGCAGCGTTTTTTTTTTTTATTAATGTTTACGGTAAACATATTTTTTTTTTCATATTTATTTATTGAAAGCGTCGAAACCTTGAACCTTGAAATGTGATGATTTGAAAAGTGAATGATAATAATCGGACGAGGTCATGAAAGCGGACGTCAAATTAAATCAAGGTATAAATAGAATGAAGGCGTCGAAACAACCCGGAATGATAATGATATACAAATCCTGGTGTCCCGTTTGCACGGAACTTAAAAACAAAATGACCAATTCCCGGGAAATTGATCATTTGAGTAATTTTATTGTTATTGTCGTTTTAAAAGACGAAGATGAACCCGATAGTCAAGCTTATTCTCCCGACGGCGGTTACATACCCAGAATTTTTTTCACGAATCCCAACGGGAATATATTATACGAAATATTCAATACGAAAGGAGATCCACGTTATAAATATTTTTACACGACCGATGCGGAATTGATACCAAATATGAGAAAAGTCATCGGATTTTTTTCTTAGTGATTTTTTTCTAGAGAGAGAGAGAGAGAGAGAGAGAGAGATTCGAGTCATGTCGATAAGAAAAACATTTTTTTTTTTTTTTTTGGTATTAATCTAATTTTAATTTTTTTTTTGGAGTAATTTTTACGAATAAATTTTTTTTTTTTCTTTCTCGATTATTCTTTTTCATTTGTTTAAACCCATCAATGAAATAGATATTATTATTATTATTATTTATATATATATATATAAGAAACTCACCGAATTTAAAATCTCCAGTTGTAGATTATGTTAACACTATCCAAAATGTATCACCACATAATAAAATCACTAGAACTTTCAAAAACTGCACAGGTTCGATTGTTCTTTTTAAAAAAAAAAAAACACTTTTCCCGCTTTTCTGCAACAAATAATATTATTTCCGTTATTATTTACTAATTATTATTATTTTAAAACTATTTCATAACTAATCTTAACAATAAATTTATAAGACAAACACATAATTAACTTAAAATAATTGTAATGATACTAAAGTACACTTACAGGCAAATTTCTTTACAATAAAAAACATGAATTAATTTATTAAAATAAAAATTTAAAACATTAAAATATTAATAATTCAATAGTAATAATAATAATAATAATAATAATAATAAGAAATATATTAAAGACAATGTTTTTGTTGTTGAAAATGATAAAAAAAAAAAAAATGTAAAAGCTTTTAAGTTATTGGTGCACAATTTTACAAAATTTCGGTTGTTAAATTATTGTCGTTTAGTTATTTCTTACATCCCCTAAAAGATAAATGTTAACATATAATAAAGCTTCTATTAACCGCACACCCACACACACACACATTATATCTATCTATCTATCTCTCTTTGCATTCATCTATTTATTCTTTATGGAAATCTTGTCAGATTGGAAAAATATACTAAATTAAAATTATTTAAAACGAAAACGAGAACACTTTCTTTAAATTCGTTTAATTCCAAATACAAAAAAAAAAAAAATTTTAAAAGACAAAAAAAAAAAAAGAAAGAAAAAAAAAGGAAAAAAAATATCGTCGGATGTAAATTGTTTTGAATTTTCACAGAAGAAAATAAGAAGAAAAAAAGAAAAAAAAAAAAAAAAGAAAAAAAACGTGTCGCGTGCGTGTGATTATTATAATTGAAAGTTTTTTTTTTTTTTTTTCATTATTTTTTATCCCGTTTTTTTTTTTTTTTTTTTTTTTTTTTTTTCAGTTTCGAAAATCACAATCGTGAACAAAAAAAAAAAAAAAAAAAATATGACAAAAAAAAAAAATATATGGAAAAAAAAAATATAAATAAAACGATTGATGGCATTCAGTATAATTAATTGGAATCCGATAATTCGAAATTTTTGTTATTCTCCCGCGTTTAAACATTGTTTGATAAATAAAAAAAATTTCGGTACGAGTTTAAAATGGGAAACAACGTTGGAAACGGGTTTGCAAAAAATAATAACGAGACAAAAACCCGGAATGATAGTAGTACACAAATCCTGGTGCGGAGCATGCAGAGGACTTAAACCTAAATTTGAATCATCCAAAGATATAACACATCTGAGCGAAGGTTTCGTTATGATAAGCCTTGCAGACGATAATCATCCGAAAGATGGAAAATACATGCCCGACGGTGACTACGTTCCTAGAATAATGTTTCTCAATCCTCAGGGTGTCCTTTTATTTGACATTATCAACGAAGGTGGTAGCAGCGAATATAAATATTTTTATTCAGATGCTGAAAGTATTGCTAGTAGTATGAAAAGAGTTTTAAATAAGTTTCCTGATTAGTAAGTTTTCTTTTTCCAAATTTTTTCATTATCATTATCATCACCATTATTATTATTATTGCTAAGTTTAAAAAAAAAATTATATACATTATACACATACCCATATTATTATTAAACGTTTTTTTTTTTTTTTTTTTTTTTGTACCGCACGCATATATAGAACAACAAGTCGACACATCAAGTTTACCCAAAATTTTTTTCTTTTTTTTAACCAAGTTTTCTTTTTTTTTTTTTTTTTTTTTTTTGTTTTTTATTTGATCGAAATTTTTTTTTTTTTTTTTTGTGCGAGTTTTCAAGTTTCATGATCAAGGAGAGGGAGAAAAAAAAATAATTTTTTTTTTTTTTTTTGTTTC